CGCTGTTTGGCATTTGTGTAGTCGGCGGAACAAATACAATGATCTATTTAAGGGGATCTATGTAGAGATCCGAAATTAAGCCGATTTTCAACAATTATTTCCAAGGACAAAGAATCAATAAACATTCGTAAGGTTTTGAGGGTTATTTGGAATATATTTCGACTTCATTTTGCAATTTTTTTTGTTTAATTAAAATGCAAAATGGCGGAGATACAGCATGACTTGCTAGAAGCGTCGCGAGACGTCTTCTGAAAGTACACTTTAGCGTCGGTTTTTAATTATTCGAATCTGCCAAGCAACGAAATATGATTAGTATGTAACGATAGTAAATGGATGGAAGATATCGAGGGAAAATTAAAAATTGGAAAAATGGCGGACCTCGGAGCAAATAGCTTAACGTTTCAAAGAAGACTTGTATTCGAAATCTAGAACGACGATGATAATATTTGCGACCCTTCGACTCGTCACAGAAGCGAGTCCGATCCATTTTTAATAACGATACTCGTTGGTAAAAAGGTCGAAAGATTCAAAAGTAGGTGAGAATTTACGGCGGACGATTTACGAGCGTTCGAAGCAAAGAAAAAAAAACTAGTAAAACTTGTTCGAAACAAGTTCGAAAGGAAGTTGGAGGAGCAGCGTGCTATATCTCCCGAAGTTTTTGACTCGATACCGCGCGCGTCTCGCGTTTCTTTATCCCCGGACGAGAAAACAATGTAATTGCGTCATATTTCTATTAAAATGTATAATCGAAAGGATAGTTTTGTTCCTTCGTTTCGCCGGGCGAAGGAGGAGAGAGTTTCTGTATTATTGAGTTACGATGGCCGCGAGCTACGAGCTCGCGTTTTGTTATAACTTTTTAATTATCTTCTTTCCGCGAAACTTCACGCTCGGAGGTAAGATTGAACAGATATGCGGAGTATATCCTCCGTTTTATACATTTTTTATGGAGAAACACTGCGAAGGCGTTCGACCTTATCGATGTTCCCGTTCGATGCTGCGCGGTGAAAGCATAACAATCATTTCCAATAAGAATTCACGCGTTCTTGTTTCTCGAGTCGCTGAAAATCTGTTCGACGAGCTTCCTCGTAAATTGATAATAAAATTTTTATTATATTTTTTATATAGTGGACGGAGGAAATGTGAAAAAAAACTACAGGGTGTCGATTTTTCCCGGACGTGAGAACTTTACGGGATTGGGTTTTCAGCTATTCGGGACAAAAAACACAGAAATGATCCTTAATTATTTAAAACCTTATTTTATAATTGGAAAGACACGTTCTGCCTTTCTGGGCGCATTCACGAGGTAGAGGTACCCTAAAAATGGTCAGACTCGCTTCTACGACGAATCGAAGGGTTGCAAATATTATCATCGTCGTTCTAGATTTCTTCTCCGTGGCGAATGACACTTTTTTATAATTTTAAAGACACGTTTTGCCTTTCTGGGCGTATCTACGAGATAGAGGTACCCTAAAAATGGAGTCTCGACGTTGGAACGGAACGTTGAGATATAACAGGATTTATAAATATTGCATTGATCCGGCAAACTTGTCAGGGTGTCGTTTATTTATTCTGCGTCACGATGTTATCCTGTCTGGTGGCAGGTCGGAGGGGTCTGGGAGTCTTGAATTTATTCAGAGGCACCCCGTAACCTATTGACACGTATATCGTGAAAGCATAGGGGTTGTACTTTCGCCCTCAGCCATACGCGCCGCACGTGAACTCTTTGTCCATGCACAGGGGGGCAAAAAAGACCCTGAAAAATCTTCTGCTCTTGAAAGTACGTCGCATTTGTTATTCCACCCTTAAATATTTCACACGAAGACTTTCCACCTTGCTTCGTAATTGATACTTCCCTGATCTAACTTGTATTGTTTTGTAGGAACGCGAGGAGCAAACTATCCGGATTGGACAACGATAGTAGGAGTTAGAAGAGACTCACAAACACGCAGGTATTTGTTTCATTCGGTATGTTAACTCGAAACAGATTCCCAAACGATCTACCCTTCTCATAATTTGCATTATTCACTAAGGACACGCGTACAGAAGTAATTCAAAGTATCGTACATTTCCAGGCTTGACTCCCTATCTCTATGGAATGCATTATACTAACGACGAGATACAAATCGTGCCGTGGGTGCAAAGAATGCGCGCGACACGCAGCCCGAGCTCCCCAGGGGCTCCAGAAGTAGGAATTACTTTTCTTTTTTAATTTAAAAATCTATTAGGAAGCTTAAAAAAACAGTTTCAAGTACTTAATACCCATCGTCACGAACGACGTTTTTACAGATGGTATTCTTCTTCATAATTTGCAGTCTCTTCGCCGCCATTTTTGCTATAAATTCTATATCAAGCTCTTTTGTACACTTTCTTGGTACGTTGTTCGGTAACAACAGTAAAATTAAAAAGCTATGCAATTGATAATAATTACCTAGGTTGGTCTCGTTTCAAATACTTAATATCATCGTCACGAATAGATGTTTTTACAGATGGTATTCTTCTTGATAATTTGCAGTCTCTTCGCCGCCATTTTTGCTATAAATTCTATATCAAGCTCTTTTATAAACTCCCTTGGTACGCTGTTCGTAACAGTGAAATTAAAAAGCTATGCAAATGATAATAATTATCTTAAGCACAATGCCAAGTTGTGCCTCAAAGACCCAGTTTCCCCAGTACAGATTTTAATAAAGCCTGATATAAACAGTTCTCTTTTTAACGCGAGCGGGGGAAATTAATTTCGAATCGGTAGGAGACGCACGGCGTTGCATTTCATCGAATACCCTTTGCTATTGAAACATTTTAGAAATCGTGAGAAAGCACTTTCGAGACGGAAGCACCGAATCCGTAAAATAATTTTCCTCCTTTGCACTTTGTACTCTGTTCTATAAACGGTTATAAGACTGCGGATTTTTATTAATAGAATTAACGGAATGAGAGCTTTGTAGATGATTGTCTCAACCCTTAAATATAATAATTCGTATCTTGCTTTAAGTATTCCTTATATTTTTGCATATTAACTAAATTCTGTAGTTTTTTGAGGATTAAAATTCCCCATAAATGCATAAACATACGCAGTCTAGTTATAACTCTCGATTTATACGACTATTTTGATAAAAGATCAAGGTACGCGATATTAAACCGCGCTTAAATCAAATGATATACGCGTGGGCTTCGTTGCTTCCCGCGTTTGCCACCAGAGGGCCACGCTCTTGGCTCTCTCGCAAGCACTCGACCAACCATACATGCAAAAACAAATCTAAACGAGTGATAAATCATCAAGAAGACTACTTCTATCAAATAACGTTTCTATTATACGTTGTCTATCGTTTTACGCGATTAATTAAAATATTGCACGAAGAAACAAACGAAACGAGTCCTGTCCTTTTACTCCGTCCTGTTTCCGGTGTCGCAATTTACGATACTTTCGCGCGTCTATGCGAAAGAGGAAGTCTTCTTCGTTCGAAACGAATTCTCCGTGTGTTCCTCGCGTTATAAATTCTGTGAAATAGGTTTCTGGCGTCTACAGGTGTCCTGATTTATACGGAACCTCTCGGAAAATTGCCCCCGGTCATTGCAATCGCCGGACGGAACGGAAGTTACGAGCTCGTAAATGTTAAGATCGTTCTGGAATATCATTAACGGTTATTAGCGACGTCCAGACCGAACGATGTATGTATAAAACGTCGTGGATGCTCTTAACGCGTTATTACGATCCCCCGTATAAAACTTTGACGTCGCGTCAGCCAATAAAACGTCCCCCGGATTGCGCTGCAGTTCGGAATGAAACGAGAAAAGACGGTAACCGGCCGTATCCGTGTAAAAAGCTCGTGGAGTTCGGGGCTAATTGATTTTTCGATCGAGCGTTGGCTTCCGGCGGCAGCAGCCGTACGTTTCGAGCCTGAGTAAATGGCTGGGAAACGGGGCTCTCGTTAAATATGCATGCAGGATGCGATTAACCATCGCGTAAACGGTAAGAAGCCGGGGACCATCGATCGTTTTCTTCATCCACTCGAGAGAAACGAACGACCTTTATCGGGGAGACCGGATACGGGTGAAATTCGTATCCGTGTACAAATTCTCGCGCAGTGAAAAATAAACAAAGTTCGATAATAAACTCTCGACCGTCGAGCCATAATTTTAACAGCGTGGATATTTAATACCGGCACACGGAAACGAATCTCTGCGTTTCATTCGATCGATCATACGCCGTTCGAATAAAATGGTGCTCGTTTCCGGGGGGCGGAAGACCATTTCTCCGGGGGGAGGGGGGAGGTTCGCGAAAGATGAAATATCGAGCAATCCGCGAAACTTTACGGTCGTCGAAGACGGAAGTAATATTTTGGATATCAGGAAATTGTTCCATTTTCTCAATTTTCGTGATTTTCACCGTTCTTAAAGATTCATGGGTATATTTCAGGACGAAGGCAAATTGGAATTGAGAATAAAAATAAAATCAAGCTCGTTTCCTCACCGCCCAGGATGGATTTAATTAACACATAATATTGCTTGCAGGTTTCGTTGAACATCATGCTACATATTTTCCACGTTAAGTTGAGAGTGAAAATTATGTGTACCACGTCGATTCTAAAAAGGTAAGCACCGGTTATACGTGAAAATATTAATATTTGATGAGAGTATTCAATAAGATCCAATGAGAGTATTTTTACTTTCTAGCAGTAATTGAAATTTACTGACAATTTGCCGCCTAAAAAGTACATACATATGTCGTCACCACAATATTAATCCTTGGAATATTCGTGTCGAGAATTGTAATAACCTTTTTCTCACAATATTATTCTGTTTTCCAGGCGAGAACAATTTGATCTGCCCACCTTTCGTAACGCGATACATATCCGGTAAATATAAAGCGTGCTCGTCGGGCGGAAAAGTATAAATCAGCCGGCGCGGCGTAACGCGCATGCGCCGACCGTGGTTTTCGCGCGGCGATCAGCTTGAAGGCCGACAGTCTGCATCGAGACATCGCACGTGTCGGACTCGCGATCGGTTCCCGCGGTCGAGTAACAATGTTTTCGTTGCCGAGCCGCTTCTAGTTTGTAATTTTCGTCCTTTCCAGCACCATGACTCGTGTATCGGCGTACGTTTAGTGCTGTTAGAAGTGTGTACCGGCGGTATTTCTTTTCCTGGAGATGTGTGCGTAATGTTCGGTAACCCACGCGTTTGAAGCATGGCTATCATGCAATCCTGTTGCTGCTGGCGGTCCGTGAGGAGGGGCAGTTTCGCCTGCGCTATTTATTCCGCGGTGAGTATCAAATTCCTTCTCCCGTTACTACGGCTATACCCGTTCGTTAGCTTCCTTATTATTAAATTAATTGTACTTCGAACCGTCGTATCGATGATCAGAATGTTCAGGGTTGTTCGATAACCCGTGATATTCGAGCACCCTGAACGCATAATGTTTGGATAAATCACTGTTGCATTTTCCAGGGGAATGTTTTCCGATTTCTATTTAATTTCATTCCAAAGTGTGGAATTAACGCTCGAGAAAAATAAATAAATAGACTTCTTGGAGGGAATCTGCTCTTTCTTTTGGAGAAATATATTTCATCGTGAATATTAACAATCGACGGTGGAACGAGAAAAATAAAGTTGCAGTAATTGGCTTGGACCGAGAGAGGAAAACAGTAAATTTAATTAGCTTCTCCACGTTTTAGCCGTACCTTTGGACCCTCGTCAGCAGTAAATATACAAACAAATTTTCTCCCCTTAAGAATACATAAAGCAGACAGCTTAACGTTAATATATAGATGTGCACCGAGTAGATAAAATATTAAACCAACGTAAGAATATTACAGAAAAAAAAAATTCTATTATTCGAATTTTGTATTATTCTTGCGTTACTTGTTTTTAAAGGAAAGTTAAAACTACTTATTTTTGTAACAAAAATCCAAGTATTACACAATGTCAGAGAGCATAAATATTATTTTTTAAACTCGACCAAAGACTGAATTAATGAAAACAATTTATTCGAGGATATATGCAACAAACATTGAAATTAATTCTAATTCTAATTAATAAATTCTATTATTCGAATTTTGTATTATTCTTACGTTATTTGTTTTTAAAGGAAAATTAAAACTACTTATTTTTGTAACAAAAATGCAAGTATTACACAATGTCAGGGAGCATAAATATAATTTTTTAAACTCGACCGAAAGACTGAAAATGTAAAGCAATTTATTCGAGGATATATGGCTCGAAGAATAAACGAATGAAACGCTGGGTTCCGGGTTGTGTATCTCGCGACTGAACGAAGAGAAAATGAAATATAATTTAACGAAGAAACGTCATGATGTTTGACACGGACGAACGCGTACGTTACCGAATTAAAAATTCTTGGAAAACGAACCTTCGCGCGCGTGTGGATTCGAAAACATGTTTGCCTGTCAGTCCGGTTCATTTTCTCCGGCGGGAAATTTACCGGACAATATCCGGGTCGTGGAATTAAATCGCGGAATAACGGAAACGCGCAACGAATGAAATGAAACAAAATAGAGCCGTACTTGTGCGAGGAATAATAACGAACGCGATGGAACAATGCCAAATGTTAACAAACGCGGTGGATCTATGGGGTATTATTGGTGGCAAAAGGGGGAAATAAAATATTATTCTACACGAAGAAACGAATGGAAAATGTGGGGCAATACTTTTTCATACGATGCTTCGTTTCCGAGAAAATTAATTTCGAAAATTGTAAGCGATGTCTGACCAATGCTTGATATTTCCACTTGCGTCGAAGTTGGTAGCGAGCTGTGCTTTTTTAAAAAATTGAGAATTATTCTACGTGGAAAAACTAATCGAAAATGTAAAATAAACATTTTTCATACGATGCTTCGTTTCCGAGAAAATTAAATTCGAAAATTCTAAACGATGTCTGACCAATGCTTGATATTTCTACTTGCGTCGAAGTTGGTAGCGAGCTGTGCTTTTTTAAAAAATTGAGAATTATTCTACGTGGAAAAACTAATCGAAAATGTAAAATAAACATTTTTCATACGATGCTTCGTTTCCGAGAAAATTAAATTCGAAAATTCTAAACGATGTCTGACTATTGGTCGATTATTTCCACTTGCGTTGGAGTTGGTAGCGAGCTGTGCTTTTTTAAAAAATTGAGAATTATTCTACGTGGAAAAACTAATCGAAAATGTAAAATAAACATTTTTCATACGATGCTTCGTTTCCGAGAAAATTAATTTCGAAAATTGTAAGCGATGTCTGACCAATGCTTGATATTTCCACTTGCGTCGAAGTTGGTAGCGAGCTGTGCTTTTTTAAAAAATAGAGAATTATTCTACGTGGAAAAACTAATCGAAAATGTAGAATAAACATTTTTCATACGATGCTTCGTTTCCGAGAAAATTAATTTCGAAAATTGTAAGCGATGTCTGACCAATGCTTGATATTTCCACTTGCGTCGAAGTTGGTAGCGAGCTGTGCTTTTTTAAAAAATTGAGAATTATTCTACGTGGAAAAACTAATCGAAAATGTAAAATAAACATTTTTCATACGATGCTTCGTTTCCGAGAAAATTAAATTCGAAAATTCTAAACGATGTCTGACCAATGCTTGATATTTCTACTTGCGTCGAAGTTGGTAGCGAGCTGTGCTTTTTTAAAAAATTGAGAATTATTCTACGTGGAAAAACTAATCGAAAATGTAAAATAAACATTTTTCATACGATGCTTCGTTTCCGAGAAAATTAAATTCGAAAATTCTAAACGATGTCTGACTATTGGTCGATTATTTCCACTTGCGTTGGAGTTGGTAGCGAGCTGTGCTTTTTTAAAAAATTGAGAATTATTCTACGTGGAAAAACTAATCGAAAATGTAAAATAAACATTTTTCATACGATGCTTCGTTTCCGAGAAAATTAATTTCGAAAATTGTAAGCGATGTCTGACCAATGCTTGATATTTCCACTTGCGTCGAAGTTGGTAGCGAGCTGTGCTTTTTTAAAAAATAGAGAATTATTCTACGTGGAAAAACTAATCGAAAATGTAGAATAAACATTTTTCATACGATGCTTCGTTTCCGAGAAAATTAATTTCGAAAATTGTAAGCGATGTCTGACCAATGCTTGATATTTCCACTTGCGTCGAAGTTGGTAGCGAGCTGTGCTTTTTTAAAAAATTGAGAATTATTCTACGTGGAAAAACTAATCGAAAATGTAAAATAAACATTTTTCATACGATGCTTCGTTTCCGAGAAAATTAAATTCGAAAATTCTAAACGATGTCTGACCAATGCTTGATATTTCTACTTGCGTCGAAGTTGGTAGCGAGCTGTGCTTTTTAAAAAATTGAGAATTATTCTACGTGGAAAAACTAATCGAAAATGTAAAATAAACATTTTTCATACGATGCTTCGTTTCCGAGAAAATTAAATTCGAAAATTCTAAACGATGTCTGACCAATGCTTGATATTTCTACTTGCGTCGAAGTTGGTAGCGAGCTGTGCTTTTTTAAAAAATTGAGAATTATTCTACGTGGAAAAACTAATCGAAAATGTAAAATAAACATTTTTCATACGATGCTTCGTTTCCGAGAAAATTAATTTCGAAAATTGTAAGCGATGTCTGACCAATGCTTGATATTTCCACTTGCGTCGAAGTTGGTAGCGAGCTGTGCTCTTTTAAAAAATTGAGAATTATTCTACGTGGAAAAATTAACCAAAAATATAGAATAAACATTTTTCATACGACGCTTCATTTCCGAGAAAATTTCTAAAATTCTAAACAATGTCTGACCAATGCTCGTTATTTCCACTTGCATCGAAGATTTCAGCGAGTTGTGCTCCTTTAAGAACGCGTTTCTCAATTAGCTATTAACGTTACGTGTTAAAAGGCACCCAGGGTGGCAAACGTGGAGGAAAAGAATAAAATAATACGTGGAAGTTGTCGCGATTATGCAACCTGAGAGTTATTGTATAACATTTCGGTTCCCTCCAGGTAAACAGCGTAGGAAGGGTATCGGGAAATGGAACGATGATTCCGGAAACACGACGGCAAAGTGGGAAGCCGTGTTTCCCGTAATTCAATTCCGGATAAATAAAATCTTGTAAATCACGCGTAATTTCGTTTACAAAGATTCCCGCGTTTCGGATCGAAATTACGTAACTCGATTCGACGAACAGACCCTGGGGAAATTCAACAAGTTGATCATGCAACGTGTTCGATGCACTGTACGGGGGAAATGCTATCTTCCTAAAAAGGGAAGACGTCTCTTTGGGTTCATCAGGCTTTTTCCAATGCAATTTTCAGAAAACGAAATCTCCCAATAATTTCTAGATTCTTAACCCTTTTGCACTCCGAATTATATTTCAATTTTGTTACCAGCAAAAAAAGAATTATTAATAATTATGTATAATTTTTAGCTGGATATTAAAAATTGACTATAGTGATATCTTGATGAAATTCTTATGACATAGTCTCATGGTATAAAAAAATGTTATTTAATAATATGAATAATTTTCATATATCCAATGAAAATTACTAATAATTGTATTTAGATTTTAGTTTTATAGTAAAAATTGACTATAGTTATATCTTAAAATGGAATACAATGAAATTCTTATGAAACAGCCTTATGGTATAAAAAGAAAGTTATTTAATAATAAGAAAAGTTAATTTTTAGTTGGATAATAAAAATTGACTATAGTGATATTTTAAAATGAAATGACTCGATCGAGGACGTTAACCCTTTGCACTCGGAATTATATTTCAATTTTGCTCCCAACGCCTTTAATTTATTTTGTAGCTTCTGTTACAGAGAATAATAATGTTTTCTTTTTTTCCCCCAGCGTATGAAATAATTGACGATGCACGAAGACGTGGAAAATTCTATTTACGAATAACGTAACGCGCTGCCCAGTGTGATAAAGAGAGTCTTCGGGCTTTCGATAACACGATCGGGACTCGATTATTCCGTCACGTTCGAAATTCGACGCACTAATCCGTGCAATAAGCGGATCGATAATGCGAAATGGTTACCGAACGTCATCGATTAATTTTTCCTCCCCACGGAGCGGAGAAAGACGGAGAAACGAAAACCGATACACAACACGGAACCGTGTCCTTTTGTTCGATATCCCGCCATTATACTTAAGCGCTCGAAACGTCGCTCGAAACCCGATAAAGCTACGGAATCGCTGTATTTCCATATTCCGGAACCGTAACGCGATTCCCCCGGTCCACGATCGATGAATCGAGGGATCGAGAAAACGTTTGGTATTCTCCTACAACAA